CACCCCCACCCCCACCCCCACCCCCACCCCCACACGCACACCCACACTCACACCCCACACCCACACCCACACCTATCTTATCGTAAAGACGAATGCCAATAAAACTTCACATGTATTCATCTTCAAGTGGTAGATATTGATTTACCCAAGGGGGAAACAGCGGACTTCAAGACTTCAAGACTTCTAAAGACTTCAAGAGACTTCAACGGACTTCAGCCGCAGTGACTTCATATTTTCACAAGACTTCAATAGACTTCAAAAGACTTCATAGGACTTCATAGGACTTCATAAGACTTCAAAAGACTTCAGAAGACTTCTGAAGACTTCAAAAGACTTCTGAAGACTTCCTTGGATTTCGAAAGACTTCATGAGACTTCACAGACTTCTTGAGACTTCACGGACTTCATGAGACTTCGAAAGACTTTATGAGAATTCATAAGACTTCATTAGACTTCATAAGACTTCATTAGATTTCATAAGACTTCATAAGACTTCATAAAACTTCATCGGACTTCACAAGACTTCGTAAGATTTCAAAAGACTTCACAAGACTTCAAGAGGCAGATTCCATGCGTATCAAAAAAACTTATAGAAATTAAATGAAACCTCTATAACATGCAAAAAAGCTTATCATTAAGTAAGGGTGTCATTTACCATCTACTTTATAATAAATACAAATTACTTATCATTTAATTTACGCGTAAATTAAATGAAAAGTAAATATAAACTGACACTCTCATTCATAACGGAGTAACTAGCGTCTTCCGAGCACTAGGAACAGAATGATATTGATAAAATCAACGTTGAAAATATTATTTTAGCTGCATTTAACTGTGCAAAAGAACTAGTTAGTAATTTGATTATATTACCTTCATTAAATGAATGCAATGCTTGTGAACTTAATGGCTTAAAGGGTGAGCCAAAAGTCTTGGTCGTTCTTAGAAAAATTGTTCGTTCTCCCTTATTACAAATCCAAAAACGCTCAAAATTGGGCATCTTATCCCTTTTAACTAGACGAATATTACCCTAAATTTTCAGATCTCTAGTCCTTATTATAGGGGAGATATATAGGTTTGTATGATCGAGAAGATTTTTTTCCATGTCCTAAAATCAGAATAGCGAGGGGTTACATAAACAGAATAAAAGAAAAAGTAAAAAGAAAGGCATCAGAATAAGGAAATATTAAGAGAATTATAACGAATCGAATTATACCTTAAGATTAATGTCTATGGTATATTTATTTAAATATCTTTAACTCTGATTGAATGCTTATTCACATATGACCATTGTCCACCATTCATTTTCGACAAAACTGTTTCAACAATTTCTCATTTTACGATTGTTTAAATACTAATGTTGCGAAAATATATAAAAAATATTAGACAACAAATTTTAGCTCCAGCGATGTTGAAAAACAAAATTATAGAGATTTGAAGAACAATCAATCGACAAATGTGCTCAAAATTGATGAATTCAATACTAAGAAAATTGCAATGTTTAATCAACAGAGAAGGTTACTCAGTCAACAAAAAAAAAAGATTGTAATGGTTTATGAAAATATAAAACATTCTGTTGTTTGTTATTGTATTAATAGTGAAAATTAATTATTCGAGACATTTCTTTTGGATAAACTTTTTTTTTACTTTTTTGCGACATGAAAAAAAAAATCTTCTCTATCATACGAACCTATATATCACCCCTATAATAAGGACTAGAGATCTGAAAATTTAGGGTAATATTCGTCTAGTTACAAGGGATAAGATGCCCAATTTTGAGCGGTTTTGGATTTGTAATAAGGGAGAACGAACAATTTTTCTAAGAACGACCAAGACTTTTGGCTCACCCTTTAAGTAAAAATATATCTGATAGTATTAGATTCGACATTAATTCGGATAATTATTTAGCAACGGATTCAGGTTCTTCATCAGTTTCTGAATCTGATTATGATGATGAAGCAATGGAAAGTAATGAATTTGATAGTGATCTAATCAATGTGGATGAAGAAGATAAAGATGCGGCAATGACACAAAACTTTGATGAAATTAAAACTGAGAAAATAAATTTTACTGGTATGGGTATATTCGATTCGATTAATCCAGCAATGAAAAACTCCTATTTTCAAGTGCAAATAAATAACAAGACTAAATTTATACACAAGAAAACGGCTTGTTGGTTATTGACCGACAAAGTTAGCCGTTTATCGGCTGATAGGTTATTAAGAGTGATAGAAACAAACAAAAAGGATTGAAAATCTTCATCAGATTAATTTGGATAGATGGAAAATTTCTTATAAAAATAAACCACTTCATTCAAAAAGCATTCACTTATTAATTATCATGTTTTCTAAGATCAAACAAACTTGAGTTTTTTCCAGTGCATTAAAAAAAACAATAAAAAGTTCACCTTTCTACTAAAATAAGACCGTCGAAAACAAGACAATTTCATTGGTTTCTTGTGAATTTTCATGCACGAAATGTATTTCAAAGCTTCCAGAAGACTTCAAGAGACTTCAAGAGACTTCAAAAGACTTCAAAAGACTTCATCAGACTTCAAGAGACTTCGTCAGACTTCAAGAGATTTCATCAGACTTCAAGAGACTTCATCAGACTTTATGAGACTTTAGAGACTTCAAGAGACTTCAGAAGACTTCGAAAGACTTTCAAGACTTCATGAGACTTAAGTCGTGAAGTCTCCGCTGTTTCCCCCTTGGATTTACCCTTAAAATCATGGCACGCATTTCTTGTAATGCAAATGTATTTTAAAAAAGCATCAACTAAAAAAAAAGAAAGAAGTGTGCTGCTTTCGTAAAAAAAATTTTTGTTTTTGTGTTTATGTGAATGGCTGAATATAAAGGCATACATGAGAATGAAAGTGAAGACCTTCTTTTCACTCATGCATTCGCCTCTTCATTTCCACATAAGTCAACTAGTACTGATTGATTGATTATAATGAACTGATGGTGAGCTATAAATATTCTCATCTTCATTGAATATCCGATGCTAAACCTAATTCATCAAATGCTCCTTTTCTTATTCTGTCTTCAGATTTTGACAAAAAAATACAAAAGAAAAAATACTTTAAGATGCCATATATTTTATAACTGTGCTTTGTTTGACAGTGCTTACATTTGGTGCTTGATTTTAATACGAAAAAAAGTAATCATTAAACTACGTGCACGAATATGCCAGTTGATGATCAATGACATGCAAAATCCTAATGATTTTTTCAATCTCTTTTCTAAACAAAATCAACACAACAAACATATATGACGGTCTACCGTAAAAGCAACGAAGAATGATACCGTCTACTTTCTAACGCATATTGTGCCACCAATTTGGACTTGATTGAGACAGTTTTCGGATATCGATCGGTACAAAAATCAGCTCTCTCAGAAAAAAAATTAATCCAGACAGCAGTGGCTTACGATGAACAACTCTCTTCGTCTTTATTAAAGTGGCATTTCATAAAAGTAACGACGAGCTTTTCCTTTCTTCCTAATGATTGTGAACAAGCCAAAAAGTCGGATCGATCATAAATAACCCATCTGATTGTGGTTGCATTACATAATGGAACATAATTTCAGCCAGAAATTTTGTAGATCTCCTAACATTGCGCATAACTCTCAAGTTTCATTTACGAAGACTAGATCTTCGTTGAGATATATAGTGCACAAAAAAAGAAGTCTGTTGTTATTGGTGTGTATTACCGCAACAGCAATCGCCAGCTATTTTCTAGCCTTGATAACGAAGTAGACAGTGAAATAGGTAGTGATTCTTTGATAAATAAAAGAGAATGACGAAGTTTTTTTTTTTTGATTAAAAAAATCTTCATTTCGCTGAAATAAAAATGAAAAACAAATTTTTCAAATATTGTAGAGATATAAGTGGACCACTACAAGGCAATTGCTACACCTAAAAAAAAGTTTTTCTATTGGAAAAGTTTTGAAATTAGTGCAGAGTCAGTCAAAAACTACTTATTGACACAGTCAAAAGTTTTCGTTTGGGTCGCCACTATGTGAAGAAATCATCAATTCAATATAGGTGACGATGATTATTTACTTAAAAAGGCAATACAACACACATTATCTTAATCAACTAAGAAACAATTTTCTCTGTGAATAATTTCATTAGATATTATTGAATCAAAGACAATGTTCCACTTAATTAAATGATAATAATCTATTATAGAGAACATTATCCTTATTCGAATATTTTGTTAAACGATACAAACTGAATCTAATCACCAAACATAAAAAAACGATCAGAAATATTATTATCAATTCTTTCAATAATCAGACTAAAATTATCAACTGCGAAAGACTTAGAAATAAAGTTTTTCAACGAACATTCAAATAAATATCGAGTGTAAGAAGAAAAAAAACATAGATGAAAGGTGAATGATTGGATTTTTTTCAATTTCAATTCTTTTTTTCTTCTATTTTTCATTACATTTACGAAGATTTTTAATAATTGAAAATTTTCAAATTGATATGTAAGAAAAAAAACAGAATATATTATAAAAGAAGCCATAGGAACATCTTGAAAATAAAAAAAGGGCAATCTGTGATACCTCTATACTTCCATTCATATTAAAAATAAAAGAGAAAAATGTCTTCAAGTTTTCTTGAACAAGAATTTCTTAATCAAACTGATGAAGAAAATCAATTAAATGATAAATTAAAAGGAATTAATACAATTGAATCTATTCTTGATCCTCGTTTTCATTCAATTATTAATCGTTCAAAATTATTCTCAAAAACAAATCAAATTCATCCACAACAAAATTCAACATCATCCAATATCAATTCAAATTCAATATCTAAAAAGTAAAAACTAATTTATTTATTTATTTATTTTTAATATATTTATTTTAATATAAATTCTAATTTAGAACTCTTTCATCAACATGCAAGAGTCGTCTACAAGGTTTATTAATTGGTTTAGGAATGACAGTTATTACTCTAGCTATACTTCTTGCACTTTTTCTTACAAGTCAGTTTATATATATAAAATATTTTTTCTAATCAAATAAATTTGTTAAAAGGATCGTCATCAACAAGTACAACATCAACAAATTCTACATGTAAACATAAAATATGTTTTTCTTCTGTTTGATTTTATCTCAAAATAAAATTGTATAGGTAATACATTATCATGGAATTCAACAGGTATAACTATAATAGGAAATGGTTCAAGTGGATCTTTATTAAATCAATTAGATAGTCCAGCTGATGTATTCGTTGGTAATGACGATACAATTTATATAGTTGATACCAATAATCATCGAATTCTTAGTGTAAATATATCATCAACAAATAATGGAACTTATTATGGAACTGTTATTGCTGGTATTACTAATACACCAGGTACTAATTCACAAACACTAAAGTATCCATATGGTATATATGTTGATTCTGATAAAAATCTTTATATTGCTGATACTTTTAATTATCGTGTTCAATTTTGGCGATATGGATCTTCCAGTGGTTCAACTGTTGCTGGAAATGCAAATGGAATTTTTGGTGCAGCTTTAGATAAACTTGGTTACACTTATGCTGTTTACGTTGATCAATCAAAAAATATATTTGTTTCAGATGCATCATATGGTCGAGTTGTTCAATGGGTTTCAGGAAATTCATCTGGAATTCTTGTAGCAGGTAATGGTTCATCGGGTTATAGTTCCAATCAATTAGCTGCTCCAGTGGATATTATTGTTGATTCGCAAAATCAAATACTATATATTGCTGATTTTTATGCACAAACTATTGTATCATGGACAATTGGAAAGACAGCAGGAACAATTCTTCTTGGTACAAATTCTACTATAGGTAATTCACCATCATTATTTCAGTATCCATATGGACTAATGCGTGATACTTATGGGAATTTATATGTTAGTGACCGTTTTAATCATCGAGTACAAATGTTTTGTCTTAATGGAACATCATTTAGTAGTGGAAAAATTATAGCTGGTACTGGTACTTCACAATTTTCATCGATTGGTCTTTCTTTTCCTAATGGAATTGCATTTGATTCACAAATGAATTTGTATGTAGCTGATACTTCAAATCACAGAATTCAAAAATTTTCTCGTATTCAATAAACTTTTAAACAGTAAAATATCTTCTTTTTATTTTATTAATACCTATTTATATTTATGAATATGTTGTAGTCAAAATTAAAATTCAGTCAAATTTAAAATTTGCCTAGTCAAAATTCAAATTTGAATTTTGCCTAGACAAAATTAAAATGCTGTTATAGTCAGTATAGGAAAATAAAGTGTTTGTACCTCGATTGTTCGTTTTTTCTCTCATCTGTTGATTACAGTTATATATAAATACTCGCAAATAACATCATAATCATAGAAAATAATGGAGTTGGATTCAAGCGTCGTTCAAGATAATAATGAAAAGACATTTTATGAAAAAGTTGATAACTACATAGATTCATTAAGTGAAAACTTTCGTGAAAAAAGTGTTATCAAACAACAGGTTTACAATGATATTTTAAAATGTTTGTTATTACCAAAAGGTACATCAACTCATCCATATTCATCAACATTTGTTTATTGGGCAAAACAAAAATTTATCTTAATTAAAATAGCTGGTATTGATATCGTTGCCTGTGCAAAATCGAAAAAGCCAGTATGTGTTTATGAAGCATTTTACAACGTTATAACTGAAGCACATGTTAATGTTTCGCATGGTGGTCGTGAGAAAACTAGTTTCGAATTAAATTCTCAATACTCATGGATTTCTCGGTTTTGTATTGATATATTTTTAAGACAATGTATTCCATGTCAAACAAGGAAACCAATTAAACAACATATTACATCAAAACCAATTATTTCATTAGGAGTAATGACACGTCTTCAAATCGATCTCATCGATCTGAGAACACGACACGATAAAATATCATCTGATCTTGCTTACTGTTGGATTTTAAATTGTATTGACCACTTTAGTAAATTTTCTTGGGCATTTCCCTTGAAAAATAAATCTGCTAATGAAGTTGCTTCGAAATTACATGAATTATTTTTTCTATTTGGACCACCACGATTACTTCACAGTGATAATGGTCGTGAATTTGTATCAAGTGTTATTACAGAATTAAAAATTATTTTTCCAGATTTACGTTTTATTCGAGGTCGGCCGAGACATCCACAAAGTCAAGAATGTATCGAACGGGCAAATGGTGTTCTCTGTGATGCGCTCAGCAAATGGATGTCTACTAATAATTCATCCAGTTAGTCTTATGGCTTATTACCTGTTGTCTATGGTTTAAATACTCGAAAGTCTACTGTAACCAAAGCAACACCTTATAAAATAATGTTCGGGCAGCAGCCTCGTTCGAATTCGGATTTTTGGAAGTTAGTTCATCAAAGTGGTGTAGATGATGAAGAAGATTTGCCGGCTCCTGTTGAAGAATCAAATTATGATTTAATTGATGATATTGATATTAATACAATTACTTTCGATGCACTTATCGATGCTGACGTTGTTGATCTTGTTCGTCAAGTATCTGATGATGTTTCTTCTATTTCATTGATTAATACACTATCAACACCAAAAGTATCTTCAGCTATAACAACAACATCAACAAACCATTCCACTATTCGTAAATCTGCTACAGATCATTATTTAGCAACTGCCAATAAAAAAAATGAAATTACATCAAGATTCTTTAAAGCTCGTTGCCAATAATTTTGATTTGAATGATTGTGTTGGCATCCCAATCCATTCAGTTGATCGAACAAATGCGGATCCCAAGTACTTGCCATATATTATTAGTGAAAAATTTGAAAAAAACAATATTTTTTTATTTAAATTAATTTGTCAATATGGAATTTTGGATCATACATTTGAAGCTGGACAATTTGTGAATTTAAAAGATGCTTGTCCCAATGAATTAAAACATTTAAATATTAGTAATCTTAAACCAACTACGATTATTGAAGCTTCAAAACTTTATTCTCGTGGTTCCACAACCGGACGAATTTGCAATTGTCGAGGCAAATGTGCAACGAAAACGTGTACATGCAAAAAGGAAAATGTCTTTTACTCTACCAAGTGTCATTCAAAGAGGGGTGGCTGCTCAAATATGGATTAAATTATTCTAGAACTCACATGATATTTGTTGGGAACTATTGCTAAATAAAAATTTCTTGATATTACAATTGTATGTCTTTCTTCATCTTCTTCTACTGACTATAACAGCATTTTAATTTTGCCTAGAAAAAATTCAAATTTTAATTTTGACTAGGCAACTTTAAAATTTGATTGAATTTTAATTTTGACTACAACATATATGTATTCTTCAACAGACAAATCTTGTAATTATCTCTATTGACATAAATTTGTAATATTTCTATTTTTTCTGCAAATTTCCATATTTGATCTTATACTAAATTATAATTTAGTCCCGTTCTATACTATTATATATGTTATATTTTGTTTGATTATAAGAGTGCCGCCCGTGTACCTTTACTTAATTATGATAATAAATTTATCGAAACTTCTTAAGATGACTATAAGCTAAAAAACTATTTGGTTTTTTCGTTTCTTTGTTTAATTAAGCCTCTATAACAACTTTAGTAACTTAAGAAAATAAAATACACAATGTGTTTAAAATTTAGGATCAAGTCACAAGTATCAACAAGCCAATAATCTCATAAGAATATTCCTATGGCCATTTTTATTCGAGCTATTTTTTTTCTAATGATTGATTAGTTATATTAATTTTTTTGTAAGATTTTTGTGCCTTATTTGAAATAAAATATTATTGATAGACAACGTATTGATCCTATTTCAAAGAGAAAACTCATGTGATGACTTCTTATTGAAAACTAGGAATCTTAGACGTGGGTATAGGTAACTGAAGGGTTATCATCTCCAGAGCAATCGGCATCGATACGATAAACAGCTAGCGATGTCTATTTGGAAGAAGCTACTGAAATGGTAGAAAAGAATTCAGATACTCCAGCATATTGTAAGGTCATGAGTAAGAATATTAAACAATCAAATAATAAAAGTCAAGTTCTTGAACTGAAAACGAAACTTTAAGTTCTACTTCAAGGTTTGTCCCTAACGAATGACTTTCTTGTTTCAAAATTCTCAAAGATCCTATGCGTATATCACAAAATGTTCGACCTAAGGAAAGATTATTTTCAAGACAGAACTGATTTCTGAAGAGATTATTACTTAGGATCGATTTGTGAATAAACCGATCCTATCATTTATTATTTTCACTGTGAAGGGTGGGGTGTGGATTCTTTTGTAGAAAGAAAAACTAGAAATTTAATAAAACATATGGTTCAAATATAATATTCGATTTGTTTATCGCAGACGTTCTATGTGTTCAATTAAATTTTTTATTAATTTGCATGTCACTATCTTTTTATTATTGAAGTTTTTCAACAGGACACGATCAATGAAAGAAAGTCAAACAAATCATTTCAAGTGTTCACAAGCTCAAAGGAAAAAAAAACAAATTGAAAAATATTTTCTTTTTAGATGACCTTCATTATGGAAATAAGAAATAATCATATTTAAATAAAATTTATTTCTAGTTAAAATTTGAATATAAACAAAAGCGCCATTGGATCTTTCTGCAATGAAATGGTCTCTTGGGTGTGGGGTGGGGTGGGTGTGGGGGTGGGTGTGGGTGCGGGTGGGTGTGGGTGGGTGTGAGGTGTGGGTATCTTTAGTTCTCTGACATTTACAACTACACCCACACCCCACCCACACCCCACCCACACCCTCACACCCACACCCACCCACATCCACACTCATTCACACCCACCAACACCCACCCACACCCCACCCACACCCACACCCCACCCATATCTACACACCCACATCCACACACCCACATCCACACACCCACATCACCCTGATCTTCTCTTCCACAGGAAAACAATAATCAGGTGCAACTTGATTAATAGTGAAGTTATGAGCAATTCGTAAAGGATCGTGACTTTCAGAGCAATGTAGATTTTTCATGGCTCTTGTAGTAGTAAAAGTTCTCGAATTGTTTGAATAAAGTATTCATTCATTTCGTTTGTTGGAAAAGTGCATCTTATGTAACTGATACATCCACACTTGCATTCACTCACACGTATATCGGCACCTAAATCCACATACTTTCACTCCACTCATCCACGCCTATAGCATACATCCATATTAGCAATCGCAGACTCTAATGAAAGGAATGCCATTGACTTCTGAGAGAATGGGGGACAAAAATGCTTTTAATTCAATATGACTTTTTTTCAGAGACATAGGCATCAGAGACCGAAACGAGTCCAAAAAATTCAACTCGACTCGACTCGACTCGACTGAACCATTCAATCGACTCGGCTCGACTCGACATGCATCTAAAAAACATCTGATCCGGCTCGACTCGACTCGAGCCGCCGAGTATCGATTCAAAATCGAATGTTTAGAAGTACATTCTTAATATCAAGAATGAGAAGAAATTTAGACACACATTTCACTTGTATCATAGTGTTGAAACATCCATGTCGGACCCCCCGAAAAGGAAACCGTCAGCTTCAGGAAATTGCGACAATTTCTTGAAAGCAGTATTTGAGACTTGGAGATCTCAGATTTTTTTTCTGTGTCTTCCCATTAAAATCCTGTCTTTGTCGCTCAAAGATGGTCGGAAGTCATCGAAAAAGTCCTTCACTCTCTCCACTTGATGTACTGCCTCGATTTTCTATCGATTTTCGGAGGTTCTCTGTCAGAAACAGAAATTTTCTACAAGTTTTCTACTCGGTTTCAGAGCTTGGAATTATCGTCTCGAATAATTCTGAATCATTTTCTTGCGCGATTTTGGCAATACTGCAGGCCGATTTCTTCTCCCCATAAATGTTCCAAGACTATTCGAAACGGTTCTATTGGATGGAATGGTTAATATATTTCATCGATTTCAATATTCTAAATATGATCAAATATTTGATCATATAAACATCCATTCTGTTTTGATCATCTTTTTGCGATAGATAATGAAATAATGCAATACACTACTAAATCTGTTGCACGTCGCATGCCGATCACTTACATAGGCTGACGATCAATCAAGTCATTGCATTCTAATTAATCTTTGAACAGTCAATAATGCATTGAATACAATGAAAGCTAGTGTATATCATTCATTGTAGTTTATTTAGCGTCGTCAGTTCATCGCTGTCTATTCATTTTAATGTTTTGTTCAACCTATTCATTGAAAGGAATTGACATTGTCTCATCTCGGTTCGTCTAACGATGACGATGACTAATATTGAGAAACAAATGATAGAATTATGAAGAAATTTTTAAAAAGTCGAATCGTTGGGGTCAAATTCGACTCGACTCGACTCGACAGTAGATCTGACTGGACTCGACTCGACTCGACACATTTCTCAAACTTCGCACTCGGGCTCGACTCGACTCGGCGTGAACCGAGTCGAGTCGAGTCGATTTGTCGAGTACTCGACTCGTTTTCGGTCTCTGATAGGCATAGCATAGTGATACTTAAAAGTATGTTTGAGGGATCACTAAAAAATAATGGAATAATGTTTGAATGCGCGAAAATAATGCAATTAGATAGTAATGAAAAATCTTGGCTGTCAGAGATTTGAAGATCTATCTAGGTAAGAGATAACGGAAGAATTCTGTTTTGAGGTAAGACAATTAGTTTTTCAGAGGTTTAGCCTCTATTATTAGCTTGCGCCATATCACTGTACCACTCGTTGTCGCAGTGCCTTTAAGCGTTTGATCAAAGTAATGATAAGCATCGTCTGCTACCTTCCAGTCACCCGAACATCGAATCGGTGGTTGCTGAGGTAACTGCTTGACACCTTCCCATCGCCAATAACAATTGTTAAAACCGCACGTAGTCGCTTCTACATATTGTTTACACATCGGGCATTTAGTGGTAGACGGATCGGCATCACCGAGAAGATCAAATATTCTCATACCGATCCCAATTATGACGCGTTTACCATATGCTTCACACTTATTATTGCTGCAGAAACCTTCAAGATTTATGCCATGAACAGCAATTCGCCATTTCGGAGCAGTTGTAGCCCATTTTACTCGCTTGTAACCATTTGTATCACTCAAGTCGACGAACGATACTCCTGCGTTGCCTCCAACTTCCTTACGCAGTTCATCCATTTCCTTTACGAAATTCTGCAATTTGGTTGCTTTTGAACTATGAGCTTCATGATCCCATTTTTCTAAACGAGATTAGTAATTGTTATTGAAGTATATAACAAGAAAGTTGAACACAAGAATTATCTGACAGATATTTCGGAAAAAATGGTGAAAAAACCTCGTGGGTACTAGTGTATGGGTGGGGCGAGTGTGGCTGTGGCTGCGTGGGTGTGATGTGTCTGTATTAGAGACCTGCGGGAACAAATTTTTTGGTTCCCGTTCCAGTGTTCCCGTTCCGTGTTCCCGTTCCCGTAATACTTTGAGAATAGCTACAACGATTTCATTATTCACATTCATCAACACTACTCCTACTTGATACTAGCTTTTAGCGACATCATGTTTCTCACAATACAAAATTCCATATATTAAAAGTAAATTTCTGATTCGAGGCTCATAAACCTATTGAAACTTCAAACTTCAAACTTCAAAGTTGAAATTTCAATTGAATTCAAGATTCAAGTTTGACATATATGTAATCTTGATGATCCCAGCTTCGATGCTGACGACGACGATGGTGGTAAAGAATATCGTGATTCTCATAATCTATGTTTGAATGAACTTGCCTGATTTTGTTGACTGATATTTGTTATCTTTTCAATTATATTTCAAATAGTTATTGGAAATCGAATACTGTAACATTAACAGATTTTGGTACAAACAGAAATCGGACATAAGGTTTGCCGGGGACAGAAATTTTTAATACAATTCTCGTTCCCGGAGTGTCCACCAGAATTTCCGTTCCTGAGGTCTCATGGGAATTCTCGTTCCCGATTCCCGCGAGAAACGGGATGGGAAAACACTGGGAAAAGTCGTTCCCGCAGGACCCTAGCCTGTATAGTACGGATTACAGGCAATAGGATGCACCCACACCCAAAAATATCATTAAATCAGATTGTCACAAAAGTAAAATCGAACCATTGAAGTATTCTAAACATTTTCTCCCTACTCTATCAAAAGAATCTGATAAATTTTATGTTGTATCGAAAAATAGATTAGACTAGTGGAATTATTTAAAATGCTTACGCGCTTTAGTTTCTAATAGCTCGCAAACAGCTGCTGCTTTCTGTGGAATGGCATATGGGATTGGTTGTAAAAGTGGAAATGGTGGCAGCGTCTCTTTGAGATGAATCACATGAAGATCTGGAGCAGCATCAAGACATGCGACAACTTCGAATTGAGTTGCAGGCGGAAGAAGTATTTCATCTTCTGTTGAATAATAAGAATGTTTTCGAATATCTTTTCCTGAATCGCATTCAATGCAGAATATTGTTCTTGGGCCCGTTTTTCCCAAAGCCTGTTCAGCCTCTAAAACCTTGATTGAGGTAGTACATGATGAGAAGCCCCACCATATCACTGTTTCCCCCTGCTTATAGTGTTCGTGCAAATTCAACTTGACTCCTCGATAAACTGTACGATGTGTAATCGATGGAAGACGAAAGAGTGCAGTTAGAAAGAGTTTGAGAAAGAAAAACCATGGTTTGAGATGTCGTCTATCTGGTAAGCGTAGAACTGCATTCAAGGCTACATACAAACATTGATCGAGTGGTTCCCATACCATTGAATAAAGCATGATAGCAGCTGATTCATCTTGAGTCAAATCATCAGCTGGATCACTACAGCTATGTTTGGCCACATAGGTATATTCTTGGATAGCTGGCACAAGAGAGATGAGCGGCACGACAGCTTTTTCTAGAGAAACAAGCGGCATGTCTTCATATCCATGGATGGGCGCTAGACGTTGCAGTGGCTCTTTAGCAACATCAGTCAATCGTAAAATGCGATATTCAAATTCTTTTTCTCTCCCACTTGTGGCCATCTTGGGAATGTAAGAATAATTTAAATAGTTGCTGAACAAATAAATATATCTGAAAAAGTGAGCGAATAATCCTTATTAGTCATTCTTCTGTCCTTTATGCAATATTAAACCAGGTAAGCTGAAGTTGCCCTTCCTTCAAAAGCCCGTACCTGCGAAGTTAATCGAAATTAATATAAATACATGTGAGGATAAAATGTAGGTTTTTTATATAAAATTTTACAGTCACTCACGCCGACACACATTGTTTACAGACTTTTTGTAAAGGAACTTGTCTATCAACGATGATATGGACGATTTCTGAGTGTTTCTTATTCAGAATAATCAGCTGATCTTGATCATCAGAAATCAAAACAGCAAGTGCTACTCGTAGGTCCTGGATTAATGGAAGAAAGAAATAATAATCAGAAGTTGTTTATTGACTAAAGTTTGGACGATATATTCATATTTGTTTATTTGTAAGCGATGTAGTTTTATCGACGAATTACACACAACTTCCTACTCTTCGAGTGTCAGAAAAAGAAAATGAGATGTAGAAACAAAACAGAGTCTTATTTTTTTATTTACACTCTCTCTCTTACAACATATGCATCAGAGAGAACGATTGAGAGAATAGAATGAAAAAGAAAAGTTTTCAACGATATACACTTCGATGAGAAGAATGAATTAACAAAAACACTTTTACTTGTATGAGTCAGTTTTTAGATAAAAATTAGAATTCAGTCGTTACAAATAGAAAGAAACAAACTCATACTTGTTCAAAGTATTCATTCTGTGTTTTGGTTGCTTAAATGAATAAAAAAAAGGAATACAATTAATAAAGTGAGGAAATAAGCGACATTCATTTATTCATCAGGCCAAACATATGATTCTCATGCTTTTTTCAGCGTGAATTTGCATCACTCATTATCGTTCAAGACTCCTATTTTTTCGGTCGAGTAAAAAAGCGAATTAAAAAAGGTAATCGAACGAATAGGATTCAATACAAAGATCTTTAAAACAAACAAGTGATGTTATTCAAGTATATGACACTGAACATTGTGCAACGATCACATCAATACTTGCTGGTTGAAGAATAAATCGAGTGTTTTTGTCGCTTAAAGTAATCGTTTCCCAATGCTATGCTATTGACTGATACTAAAAGGATTTAGGGTGGGTGTGTGAGTATGGGCGTGTGGGTGTGGGTGTGGGTGTGGGTGTAGGAGTGGGAGTGGGTATGTGATCGTGGATATGGGTATGAGTGTGAGATGTGGATCTGCCACATCCACCCGGAAACAACTCGTTTACATGTTAATTATCAACCAGAATTAATTGCCATATATCAAAATGTACCCATCTTTCTTAATTCTGTCTGAATTATATTCATCAATATATGAAAATAGAAAGTCAACTGCACCATAACAAGAAATGTTCGATAAACATCTGTTCTAATCAATTTTATTATACGTTCAATCAGCACTGAATACTGTTCTGCTGTTTGATTCTCTATTTCATACTGACACACGTATTGTTTATTATTTCCTCATTCAAATTAGACTACAACGAGCATGATTGCTTCGTTGGTAATATTTGGTCGAATGAGGTGATATTTTAATTACATGAATCATTAGGACAGACAACGCAAAAATCGTATGCCATGCACGCATACGCCCTCTTGTTTCTCTTTCGCCAAAAAAGACGTATTTGCTCAGCATATACTGGAATATTTGCTTTCATTTGCGCAGAAAGAGTCTGATAAGCAATCAACGAATAGCGCAGTTTGTTAACTGTCACCAATGGATATTTTTTTCCACTTGCCAAAGAAACAGAACGCAGTGAGTGCTCAGATGAAGCGAAGCTGTGTCAATGCATTTTTTAATGATGTGACGGTCTTCTCAATACTATTGCAAAAATACGCATTTTGACAGTGTTGTGCAAAGTAATGGATCAGAATCTAAATGAAAGAGGTTGCTAACAAAGAAAATATGGATAACCTCAGCGAAAATGAGCTAATGAAATATCAATTATATATATCTACCATTATAATCATCATTAATAAACAGATTTCTTTATGTCATGGTGTTGGTGTGGGGTGTGACTGTGGGTGTGGGTCGGTGTGGGTGTGGCTGTCAGTGTGGATGTGGGTGTGGGCTGGGTGTGGGTGTCGATGTGGCGTGAGGGTGGGTGCGGGAATGCGTATGGGTGTGAGGGTGTCGGCTGGGTGGGTGTGGGTGTGGCTGGTGTGGCTGTGGGTGCGGATGTGTGGGTCGGTGTGGGTGTGGTTAGCTGTGAGGTGTGGGTGTGGTTGGGTGTGAGGTGTGGGTGTGGGTATCTATAGTTATCTGACAGTCACAACCACACCCACATCCACATCCAAGAAATTCAAAATTCTTTCCAGATGAGAGACATCTGGTCTGATCATCTAAAATTTTATCTATCGCTCTCTTGTTTGATTTTCAAGATCTTGTTTTTCAGACAAAAACATGTACTTTTCTTCTATACCCAGTAAAACAAGCACTCTTTATAGAATTAAGTCATGTAATTGATGATTTGTTCTGCAGAATAATGAAATAAAAGCAAGAATTTTCTTATTTTCTAGTATAACTATTAAAAACAACAAGAGTTCTCTCTTTTCCTTTTCATCTTCTTATTGGTTCAAAGCATCGCTACCAAGCAAGTAGGACAGCACTAAAATTTAGGAGAAAATGTTGAAAATCAGCTCCTGAAATCAGAAGCTTTTCTATCAGGAGAAAATTTCAAAAATCAGAAGCCTCCCGGTCAAATCAGGAGGTTTGGCAAGCCTGTTTCTGATATGAAACTGGTTTTAAATTTTTGTTTTCCTGTACTAATTAACAATTTTCTCATCGAATTTTGGTTTTCACTGCGTAACATCAGGAAAGATAACCAACTAACAAATAAACAAGATCTTTGAACATGTTTTCTTTTTTTAAAGTGCATTCTTCATCTGATTTAAGAATTTGCGATAAATTTTGCTTGCCTAATTAGTATGTATCCATTTTAGTATATGAAAAGGAGAAATTCAAGCTAATCGTTGCTTAAATCATAAGATTTCATAACTTT